ATGTGTAAGAAATAACGTTGAGATTTTGCAATAATGATGTTGCCCTGTTTCCACTCGCTTGAATTACAATTAAACAAACGATTGTTGTTGAGTTGACTGATTTCCAAACATTCATTCAAAACAAACATTCATTTGTTGTGAGACGATTAAACAATTTTGTGGTTTCACTGTAATAACGGCGCTCCGAGAGAAGACGTAATTCCAAAGTGGCCCGCGACAAAAATCAGTTTGACACGCCCTGGAGTCGCCAAATCGTTTAACTGTTGCAGTAGCATAAAACAGACTACAGGTTTTACCCAGAAACATTTGGTTAAACACTAATTTGCTTTTCACTTTAAAGCTTTTCAAACAGTTTGAAGTTTGTTTTTAACATTTACTGTATGTACAATATTTGGATGGACGAAGAAAAAAGGTCATTTTCAATTTAACGGACAATCGGCTTAAATGGATGAACATGTTCGGCTGTATAAAGACTTGTAAATACAGTGCAACTAACCTGCTGCAAAAGAGCCTGACAGATTCTATTCGGAATTCGAACCAAACACTCCAAAAGGAAATTTGCCACTGTAGTGTAACATGACATGTCCTCTTCAGCTCGAGACAGATCTAGACCCAAAAGCAAATTTTAGTTAGATAACAAGGCTGTGTTTTCAAAAACAATGCAAGGGAGGCTTAAATATTTCTCTGCTACCTTCTTCAGCCACAGCCGCCGCCAGGGAACTCTGCATATGATTCGCCAGGAGGGCCGTGGGAGCATTTGTGATCCCATCGGCTACAACAATGGACACGAGGTGACCAGCTGTCCCCACGGGGTCAAGGGTCAAGGCGGCGTTGGAGAAATACGTGTCTCCTGTGTCGGAAGTGATTCTGAGCAACAAACTTGGCGCCACCTCCAACGCTGCCAAGCCTGTATTTGCTGTCATTGGTCAAAACGGAAGATGTCAATAAGGCCATTGCATCCGAGAATTGTTTCCAGAAATTTTCTATTCCTACCAATTTCCCACCTTGTCTGTACAAACACCTACCTGCATGTCTTTCAATAAAATCTTTGAGGGAGCCATGGAAAGGTTTGAATATAAGCTCCCATTGACTCCATTCACTTAAATCCTCTAACAGAGGACAAGAATGCAAACTAGCCAATGCCTGGAGCTTTGAAACCTCCCCAAGCCGCCCCACTGCTTC